TCTCCATCTTGAGAAAATAGTTCGTTACCAATATTGTTTCAAGTGTAGTATCTAAGCAAACATACCACTTAGAGAACAAATTTCCTCATTATTTGAAAACCGGGACAAATCTACTTCTTAGAATTACATTTTTTACTAAAAGTACATCTTCTTAAGAAAGTTTACTCATCTTTAATAAGACATTCTATTCAAAATATAAGGGAAAAAATCAATTAATTTTGGTTTTTGTTTTCTCGTCGTTGTTGATGATGATGATGATGATGATGTTTACGAATGTTTTAGTCTACGGGGAATTGTTGTTATCAGTTTCTAACACTCACTACTTTGATTTCAAATAATCACACCATCTCAGTCATTGAGAAAGAGATTAAATCAAAATAAGCATAATGTTTCTTTAAAATTAGATTTTGCAATGTTTACTTTGTATAATCTTGTTATTGTACTAAACAAAGTGTAACCAATTCAATTTTCAATCAAGAGTAGACGATTTGCTGTATATTTTGAAAGAGGATGTTTGAAATAATTCGCGTGGAAACTTTCAAAAGTAAATTGTAAATTGGATGATAACAACCAGAATTATGTGTATACTCTATTAATTAGAATTTTACTTTCAAAAAGAATTGACTTAACCTCCTTCAGTATACCAAACACAGATGTCAATACTAACTTGCTGATTCGGCTGTGCAGTTTTTGGGAAGCAGCGTTGTGTATTCAAATTAGTAGTTCGACATGTGTACTTAAATACTGATCATCGATATGCATTTACAAGCACCCTCAGGGGATCAAAGACGCTGCTACAAATAATCCTGAGTGTAACTCCCCAGCTGATGTCCATATTAACTGATGAAAATGTAAGTGTTCTATCCATATCATTTAATCAGCACTGCAATCAGAACATGATATGGCATTTTCTCCTTTAATTACTTCAAGAATTCCAACAGCTAAAATACCAGTGAAAATTTCCATTGCAGTAAATTTATAGTTGAACTAGTTTTTACAATGTAGTTTAATAATCACTTGAATGTATTTTCAAAAAAAGCATAGAGTAATAGAAAAACTCGAAAGCCACTCAGTAACCTTTAGCACGTTTTTGCAGTAGGCAATAAGTCACACCAACTGCGTGAGGGTTGATGATACTGTCTTTCTGCCCAGTACTAGGCAGGTACAGCTGGGTGAAAAGTATGACCCATCGGTAGGAAATTACGCTCGTTATAACGTTTATGGATCACTGATCAGATACCAGGTGGTTTTAGTAATAAGTAACCATTTTACTCACTCTAGGCCGACCCCATCAATCTAACTGTACTTCTTCAGCTTCCACAATCCAGTTTTCAGCTACTTCAGTTTGACAGTTTTGCTTGAACTAGATCCATCTGGCTTCCTGATCGATGTGGTTAGTCTGCAACTACTGACTCCAGTCAGAAATATATAATGTTAGAAAAGTAAGCAAACTTTATCACTACATGAGGTTATGTTTATCCGGAAACGATAACTGAATATAAATATCACTCATGTCATGATATGGCATTCTTCTAAGTGAAAAAACTCTAAATTAGTCAATAAAATGGCTAATTATAATGGAAGTGCTTCATGACATGCCGGAATGCCTAAAAAACCCTTTAATTTGTAAAATTCTGGAGGATTTTGATCAGTTACTGGTGAAATAATTGAGTAACTGTAATTTAAAAGTATCATTGACTTCTACAATGTTGAACTGAAAAGTGTGGGACAGCAGAAAGTGTCACTTTTAGGCAGTTGAATAGTTCAGTATAAATAGAGAATATTCTAGAAATTATTTTCAATGTACAGTCTTATGGTACTAATTTCATTATTCCAGATTCACTCAGCCAACTGTATAGCGACTTCTTCTGAAGATAATTCCTGAATAAATAAGAATGTCTGGGCTAACATTATATTATTAAAATTGTAATAAGACAAACAGTCAGTTCATTTTTTTGGTAAGAAACAGTAAATCAAAGGTACTCCTTTTGTAGTTAATATTAAGTAAAGCAACTGATGTATGTATCCACACACATATGTGTATATAAACTAGTAGTATTCTGATGCAACAAGTAGGGTCATAGAATGGTTACAAGAGTAATGAGTGAATGTTTATTAAATATGCAAACCACTTCGTTAGAATTAAATCTCATTTATATTTAGCCTAAAGCAAGAGGAAGATTATGAAGAAAAGGCTAGAAAGAATGTTGTAAGAGTAATTTTAAAAAATTGACATAACAACAATTTGTTTACAGACTCAAAACGTAAATAACGAGATTTACTCCAGTAAATTAAACTTTATCCGTTTTCTTCTGCTCCAAAATTTGCGTTTCGTTTCATCAACGCACAAGTCCAGGCAGAATAAAATAGTTAATAAGGTAATCAGTCATTTTAAGTAATGAAAACATGAAGTGAACTCTAGTGTTAAATTAAGAATACGGGAAGGTTCAAGATGACCGTCGATTATTTCAGCATTATTTTGAGTTGGATATTATCAAAATATGTTCATTTTTTATATAATTTCATCGTTATGTGTAGTGCGATATTATTATTCCTGAACTGGTAACTGCGCTCCTCGAGAACATTCGAAACACTTATGCATTGTACTATTACTAAATGGTGTTTTCAGGTACGTTATAATATCTTGCCAGTTTGTACCAGCAAACATTGACTTCACCAGTTTCACTCATGAAGGCAACTAGACTTTGTCTTTGAAGGTAACGCCTACTAATAATTATTAGAAAAAGGATCACAATGAAGCCGTACAAAAACTGGTCATATAAATGTCTCTGAAATTTAGATTGGATTTTACAAGAGGCATAAGTGTTGAAAATGCTTCAGGAAGAAATATCATCAAAATTGAAGAAAAGACTCATTCTGGTTTTCATATGATCAAGCGGTAAACAGTTAAAGGGTTATTTGACGTTAAGCTCTGGGGATAAGGTAATCTATAACTGCAGAAACCATGATTCTGTAGAAAATCCTCCGTTGACAACTATTTTAGAGAATTTATGTACAATTATTAGTAACAATTTTAACCGAAAATCTCATGACTATAGGATATAGAAAAAAACAGTACCACATACTGCAGATCAAAATTTCTCAATTCTTGATAATGAAGTAAAGACATTTTGCTAAATGTATAAACAGATCACACTTAACATGGATATAATTTCTTAACAAGGTGCATTTTAATGACTTTTTGCTGAATAAATTTCATTGATTTCAATAAGTAGGGAAGCTCTAATTATAAAAAGGAATAAATTTACGTTTATAAGAAATCATGAATACAGTTCCTTTAGCTTATATTTGCTTCATATTCTACGTTTTCATCCATCCATCAATTTAAAAATTTATTTTAACTTGCATAAAACAGCCAGCTGAATCTACAAATAATCTAATTTTTCAGTATTAAACTTAAAAACTTAAGCATCGTTCTCAAATTTTTCACATATTCACAATGCCAAACTACTAACTCATATTTATTAGTGTATCAACCGGTACCTAAATGTTACATAGTCTGTGAAAATGAAAAAAGTAGATAGTAAATTCGCAAAACAAGTAATAATACATCTGCAATCCCTTTTGATGTTGAAGACAAATGATATCAAGAACCTATAACTGACTGCCTTTTTGGTTATTACAAAGTAAGTGTGAAGTTAAATAGTCGTCTATATGTTGTATCAGCTAAATAATAGCATAGGACTTTAGATGTGATGATAGACAAAATCATAAAAACATCCATTTTGTTCAACAGTTCAGAGTTCTTTTGACCTAAATAAATATGTGCGGAAATTATACGTGAACTCAAAAGCCTTTAGTATTCCAAAAATGATATGATTTCCCTCATTATGAGGAGTTTTCTAACTTTTACTTAACTGGTTCATTGCTCAATACCAACTACTAACAAACTGATAGATTCATGTGTTTATCTTGACAATGCATTAAAAGGGATTTGAGGTTAAATTTTAAACAGGAAAATTGAGCGTACAACCTTCACTTCACAGTGAATGCACATTTCATCATCACTAGAAATACCATGTTACAATGAGTGTAAATTACTACGTGACGTAAAAGATAAATCATGAAACTTACAAAAGGGTAGACAAAAATATCAATTTAAAAATTTGTATGCTATAGGGGAACTTCCTATAGATGAAAGCAGCTGACAGAGTAAAAGGTGATGGGGACGGAATTTCTCCAAACTCCACCAACTAACTGTGTAAGTAATGGAAAATTATTCTTTTGAAAGTCCTGTTCATTTCAATGGAAGGCTTCGTCTTTCAATAACCCACAAATAAAGGTACCCTTTTAGCCTAACTGTTGACAACCAGAATCTACAGAATCACTATTGGTGCCATTTTCACTGAAAATTTACATATAAAGAAACCTTTGATGGTGTTGTATGATCTGAGTTGGAATGTTTAATCATGGAGATTTTGTTGTCATTCTAGACAATACCATCAGCACAAACTTCAGTAATAAGTGAGTTTTTCTCCTAAATTTATTTAGTAGCTTGCCCTGATGGCCTTATGTGTGACTGGTTGTTTCTGCCTAGGTCTTGTTACTTTCTCTACGTTTATTTTGATCGTTTGTCCTGATGACCTGAAATTTAACCCTATTGTTGTTATATTGTCTGATAGATTGGGTCAATATCAATATCTCTGTTGATTGCCAGCTAACCAGAATCTGAACCTATAAAAATTCTCTGACATTCTTTGTGTTTCTTCCATTCAGGACTTCCACACTCTCAATCAAATTCATATCCACAGTTGGCTGTATGTACTGATACGGGCAAAGATATGTGATGAAACTTCACTATTAGTTGGTGTTTATGTAAACGGCGACCACTCTGTCCGATGTAGCGTTTTCCGCAGTTTATTTTTCCGATAACATTTGGCAAATCTTCCTTTGCTGGTGTATCTTTCAGCTTGCATAGGAGAGGGCGAAGAGATTTAGTGGACTTGTGAGATACAGTGATTCTAAAAGGCTTCAGTAACCTAATCGTGATCTCGAAGACGTTTTTCATGTAGGGTAGGATGATCCGTTTGTTAGTTTTCGAAGTTCACTTCTTGGTTGACGAAGAGTTGTGTGAGCATTTTTCGATGAAGTTGTGTGGATGGCCGTTCTTCGGGAAAACACCCATCAAATAATTTTCTTCTTTTCCCTGTAAGGTTACTGCACTACAGTCTGTCTTCGCTCTTTTGAACAATGTTTCTATTTAGCTGATTTTGTGTGTTGTTGGATTATTGGTAATGTAGTTAAGAATTTGATCCGCGTAAGCTGATTTTCTGTAGTCTTCAGTTTCCAGTTTTCTCAGATCCGTTCTTGTGATGAGAACATCTAAAAACGCAAGTTTGACATTTGATTCATCTTCAAATGTGAATGTGATGTCATCGAAAATGTGGTTGATTAATTTGCAAGTGTCTTTCAATTCGTCTCTTTTAATGATGGCAAACGTGTCATCTACATAGAGTATCTAAAGTTTTGGTTTAATCAACGGCAGTACCACAGTTTTCAATCTTTGAATTACTGCCTGTAAAGTTAATCCTGCTATAGGCGATTCCATTGATGTTCCCCTTGCCTATTTGTAGAGTTTGCCGTTGATTGAAAATACGTTGCAAGGCATAAATCAGTTGATTTCATGAACTTGAACATTGTAGTTGTATGTGTTCCGAGACATGTGTATCATTGCTGAGGAGAAGCAACAAAAGGTCAAATCTCAGGTCATCAGGGCAAACAGTCAAATTGAACATGAAGACAGTGACGAAAGTTTGACAGACACAACCAATTATACATAAGCCCAGTAGGAAAAGCTACTGAATAAATTTCGGAGAAATTGTGCTGGTGGTGTTGTCTTCCTGATTAAACACTTCAGCTAACAGAACAAAAACCGATCGAAATGATCCTTCTGAGCTACAAATATTCCCCACCATAGAAAACCTTGAGTCTAGAGTACAGTCAAAATCTCTGTCTGTAAAATCTCTAACTCAAGCTGTATGAAAAAAATTGCTATAAAGAAGGACTGATTTATTTATGCTGAATAATAACAGGTGTAACAGTAAATGTCTGTAAGTGATTCAGGATACTTGTCTTCTATAGTTATGCTACGTAAACTTATATTTTGATTAAGATAATAAATTTAAACACAATAGGAGTTTTAACATTAGAATGCTTTCAATGATAAAATAAGGTTGAGTATTGAGGAAGATCAATTCTAAAATATTGTTAAGAATACCTTTGTAATCATTTCCTAAGGATTGCTTTGTAGAATTTTGTTCATATGGCTTACATTTCATTTTAGGTTTTCAACTCAGTCTAATCTCTTTAAATCTTTATTTTATCCCCTACATTTTTGACTGAATCTAAGTAACCACTAACAATGATTTTCCTACTAACGACGACCAACGATTTACCATTAAGTCTGTTGCATATTTATACAAAACAAGCTGTTAGATGAAAGTAACCAAACTTCTTCTAATTTTGTGACGTCACATCTGTACGCTTTCATATTCTCACTTGAATGTGTTTGGTTAATATCTCACTAACACTATAGATGCAATAGGTTTTCCAAGCTACCGTTGCGATGTTAATGATGGATCAGACAGCAATTATCTCCTGTCAATCTATTTAGCAAATTAATAATATTTTACCAAAGAGAAAACCTTCTCTAACTGACCACTTCTTATCGTTCTCTGTCCTTCCATGAATTTATAGAATCTGTGTTTTTCTGAACTTATTTGACATGTACCAATTTGGTTGTGGCACTATAAGCTTATTACAACAAAATCAAATAACTGGGAATGAAAAAGGATGGAATGTTAGAGCTTATAACTACCAAAAGCACAATTAATTCATGCTTCGAGTAATTCAGTAAAGTTCATATTCAAATGTATATCAGTATTACGTTATATCGAAATAGTATTGCTTAATGAAATGTATTCATGATACCGATAAAGTATTGAGCTAACCGATGAAATTAATCGTTACTAGTTTAGAAGTATGCATAAACAAAGAAGAAAAGAACATTTACCGTAAATTTTGTTGGAAAATACAAAACAGAGCACTATTTTCACGAAAAGTACTAAAACAAATTGTTTTCATAGAGCAACAGTAGAAAGAAACTTTATATAAACTATGATCAAGATTCGATCATATAGTATGGCAAACATTGGGCGCGAAATGTTGGAATTATTTGATTTCAAACCCCCTGTGACTTACACAAATATAATCTATATCTAAGTAGAAAGAAACGTTTAAAATGTATCACTTGGGAAGCGTTTATTTTTACTGCCAATGAAAATTACAAAAGTTAGCACACTTATGAATCTAAGGTATGGTTTTAATCAGTTTTGGAGTAATTTTGATCTGAATAGTTCAGAATATACTCATTTAGTTAAATTCCTTACTTTCGTATCTATGAAGGACGCAAAATGCATTGTACACATCTGAATACTCAGATAAACTTATTTTCAGCGAGAAAACAGAATTATTTTAAACACATGTGAGACCACAGGAAATCACCGTAACGTAGAGCAAGTGAATGAAGCGAAACAACTTTATCTACCATTTCTTTAGTTCAGACTTTGAGATACTAATGCATTCACTTATTTTAAACCAATATAACGAATATTTTAATTGCATATCGTGAACACGTGGTAAAATAAACCAGTCTAGGCTTTCTACTTCCTTCAGGTTTCTCCCCTGATGGTGACTGGAGCTTGTTGTTGGTGGTGGTGGTATTGGTTTGGTATCTTCATCACCTCTGTCTTCTCTATATTCACTTGAAGTCCCGTCTTCACTATCTGGCCTCTTCTGTCAACTTGTTAGTTTTTGCCTGTAGATCTTCAAGTGTGTGTGACACTAGACATAAGTCATCGACGAAATCTAAATCTTCTAGGTTCTTTTCCGCAGTTCAGCGTATCCCCCTCTTTTCGCTCCTCACTTCTAAATGAATAAATACATTTATTTACGGTGAACTCAGTATTAGGAATTCCCATCACATTCTTAAACTGGAACATTATATGAGCGAAATTCTGTAGTCACAAAGAATGCCTGAGGGTCGACCATATTTGCAATCCCATTTTTTCTTTATTCAGTCATCTTACTGTTAACTGGTCAAAACAAAGGTAATTGGCAACTTAAACGCATCATCTGTCATACTTTTACTTGATCACGGAGTTTATTGGAAGTACACTGAGTGGCTTGGGGCATTGGTTCTACTATTCTTAAAAAGATTCCTGGATTCGGAGATTATTAACTTCAATACAACCAAATTTTCGGATATATTCCTACTTTACAGTGAGAACTGACACGAGAATTTACCTTATCCCAAAATTTTATGCATGGAACCACCTATTCATGGGCTTCAAAAACATGAACTCCAGTTGTTTGATGATGCATACTGAGCACCAATATGCAAGGTGAAATCCTACATCTACTTTCCTTTTCATACTTTCACTCCTTAAATTCGCCTATTTAATGTGTATTTTCTGAACACATCTAACATATTCTAAGCACGAAAGTTTGTCGTCCTTGATTGATATATTAACATTTTAGCAACTCTTATGATTAGAAGTTACGATTCTGAGGACAGAAAGTCTTTAGCTTATATTTTATGCCTACTGAAGTCTATGAAGCAAACATTGAGATGTACTAGCAACCATGATGAAGCTGATACATCATCGTAGACTTGATCCTGCTTTATATTACCAGATTTAACTACCGACTTTAACCATTTCCGAGTACTTGGAACTTACCAGCTACAGCAATCAACACCTAGGAAACGAATGTCCTACGTTACTGAGGTAATCAGTGACGCTTTAGGTTCATGCAAAAATTCAATAACTCCTCTTTCTGAAGTCAGTCACGAATAATTATTTCAAAGTAGTCATCAAAATCCCTAATTACTAACAGTTCGTTCCTCTGACTGCATATATTCATCAGATTACTAACGATACAAGCTGTCACACTGTTGGCTCTAAATAAGCTATAGGCTGTACCATATATACAATGAATATGAATGTTAGCATAAAATGTCAGCATTATATCTATAAAAGAGTTGAAAGAGTATTTGATAGGAGAGTTTCAGTGATATTCAGCTGCCCAATCTATATTAAATGTTGGATGCTAAATATTACACTTGTTTTAAATAGACTTTAATATTCAGCATATTGTTGTGGTGCTGTGAACAACCAATCACAGCAGTTGCGGCTACTTGGAATAAGCATTTCTTTCTGATATCTATGCTAATTTTAGACAAGCGGTTTAAATACTCTGTTTATCATACTTTTACATAAACATAAATATACTCCAAGTACTCTTTTCTTTAATCGTGAGTTACAATCTTCATCTTGGTGGGTAGAAAGGAATGTGTTCCTATAAGAATGAGAGATGTTGAGTTTATCTCTGTAGTGTGCATTTGAAACGCAACCTCTGTGAAGGCAAAGCAAATTAAATCTTAATTTTTAATACCCAACCTTGAACTGGAAATCAGTTTGAAGTTCATTTTCAACTCCTTTCTTCATGGCAAAAGGTCATTCATTAACCATCTCATTCAATTGTGTTTCATTATTTCAATAACATACCATGCTAGTTCAAAAATATTAAGTAGTATATCAGAAAAATTGAATGAACTTATTTGGTCATTTGGTGTTCATTGAGCCGACGAATGTGTGTGTACACAAGCAAATATTTCTATTGGTCTAAACATAGTATATTCATATATCTCTACGCAAAAATTAACAGCAAACATTTAACTGTGTCAGTTATATTGCCGATAAAAGCTAATTATAATTTTGTTGGACACGTCCATTTATTATGAACAGAATAAACAAATAAGCATATTTATTATCATGTTTCACCAGTGACCCAAATTGTCATCTGTTCTCTTCATGAATAAATATTATCTTTCCATTTTGATTTTTATCATTATCACTTCAGCTATCAAATTTCTTATCAAGATGTTTTAGAGTAATTTTCTCAACCCCATAGGAATTTTCTGTTCAAAGTATTAATCAGCTGTCAGCT